GTTTGCAGTACTTTGGAAGCAGGTTTTGTAGAGCTCCAATTCAGATGTAAACTTAAAGAAAGATAAAAGTAAAGGTTGAAACTGTCATGATTTCTTAAAAAAATCGTTATCTGTGATACAAGTGGAATTTAGGATTTTTATTCTTATTTCTCTGTAACTGAACATTTAGGTATGATGACTAAAGGTAAATTAAATTATTTTGTAAGCAATTCAAATTGAATATTTGAGAAACAGAGGGATGTTTAATAACTTCTCATTAAAAATTGTAATGCAGTGGGGAAAGTAAAAATCATCATGTTTATCAGACTATTTTGAGGCAAACCAAATGAATACAACTGCTTTTATTCTGAAGGGGTTTTTACCAAATCATTTGCATCTCTTGTTTTATTCAGCCCTCTCTACATACGCATTTAAGCTGTGCTTAACATTTCATTAGGGTCAATCTGCTATTTGACATGACTCAAATCTCCTTGTCACATCCTAAATGTCACTAAAGCATAAGCCCCAATAACAGTTATAAGTACCAAAATAAGATGGCTAAAAAAAGAGAAATGCAACGCTTAGCCGTTTCTTCCCACAGGATGTGGCAATTTACATTAATTAAGATTGCGAATCTTTTTTAAGAAAACAAAAAACTCAACATTAGTATCAGGGGAGATTGCCAAAGGCACAGAAAGGAGCTGGACATCTAGCTTGCCCTTGCACCCTTCTGTGTCTCTCTCTACAATGCTCTTTTACAGGTCTGAGGAAAGGAAATTGCCATTTTTCTTGTCATTGTTTACCGTAACAAAACGCTTGACCTTAATTTGTCGCCACTAGCAGAAAACCTCTAATCTGTCAAAGTCACTTTTAAGTTAAAATGGCAATTTTGTAATATTTTAACATGTGCTCTCTGCACTGTGTATTGCAATCCATTTTTATTTTTAAACTTGCAGAACTGAGGCTAATACAAGCTGTTACACTTCTGAGGACTACGTGAAAACTAAGATAGTGTCCTTCATCTGAGGACCTGCCCTTAGATTACCCTCTGTGTTTTGATGTAGTTTGCACCAACTGTTAATCCTAATTCTCATCTGACTTAGACCTCTAGCAAGTTTAAATCAGAAAAGGTTAATTTCAGTTGCGAATCCCAAACTGGAATATAAAAAAAAAAATTTACCCCTGGGTGAGACACACCTCATTTTGAAGCATTAGGACAGTCTGATTTTAAAGGTGATATAATTAAATATATCTCTTAAATGCACAAGCATTTCTGCTACTCCCTTAAAGTAAAAAAACAAACAAGTTTTATGGATAAACAGAAATTAAATGCAACTAACCGTAATAATGCCAAGAATTTAAATGCAAAGGTTCCCACAACAACCGTAATTCAGCCACAAAGAAAAGACACTAAGATAGAAACGTGTCCTGCAGCTATGCAGAATGCAGACATCCGTAACAAGGGGCAGAGAGAACAGCTGTGAGAACATCAACTTTCCTCATTTAAGACTCCAAGTCAAGCAAGTAAGGCCGTACTGGAGGCCCAGTCCTTTTCGGACTGCAGTCGGAGTTGCAGCGCCTGCTCAGGGGAGGCTGCCCAGCTCAGGACTTCGAAGGGCACTTGGCAAGGCTCAAATGGCATCTGTGGCTCCGCAGCTGATGCTCACGAGTTCTTCTGCGGGGGCAGATCTGGCGGTGTCGCTCCCACAAGAAGGAAAGGCGGTTCCCCGCGCAGGCGAGGGCAGCCCGCTGCCCCTGCCCCTGCCCCGGCAGTGAACCTGGCTGGTCCCCCACGGCCTGCGGGAGGAAGGGGACTGCTTTCGCCTGGGCGTCCTCCTCCGTAAGGCAAACAGACCAAAGTACAGCTGCGTCCCTGCGGGCCCCCTCCTGGGCTTCTCCCTTTCAACCACAGAGCCTTACAGGGGAGGAGGGGAAAATGGGCCCTCCCCTCTTTAAAAAGAGGCCGGGAAGCCTCCTTTTGACAGAGCTGGAGGAACCAAGGGTGTCTATAGGCTTGTGACTTGGGTAGCAAGAACAAAATGCTATCAACAAACCCAAACCTGTGCCAAATAATACTGTCCACCGTGCGCGCCTTACTTTATTTTACGAACCTAGTAGCTATACTCATTTGTTTTGTTTAAAAAGCATGACAAGGGACAGGGCACGCTCCTGAAGAAATTACTGTATTTTTACCATTCTGCTTAGCCTCAGTCTAAATATTCATATCCATCCTTAACGTAAAGCTACAAAGCATGTCTTTGTGTTTGATTTGCTTGACTATCTCAACTACTGGGAGATTGCTGGGGAGGGGGAGGAAGGGAAAGGAAGGAAAAAAGAGACTACTTTTATGGGACTGAATGGCATTTCCATAGTGTTTCCCTGATTTTTTTCTTCATATCTTGTAAAATCAGTTGTCTTTTGAAAGTGTAATTGAAGAAACTAATACTAAAAATGACAATCAAATCTAGGAGAGAGGTATCTCGGGACAAACTCAGTAGCAACACACACACACACCAATTCCCAGCTCATTCATGGAAAGACGACACTTTCTGCATAAGCACATACAGCAGTGCAAGCCAGAGATGGTCATGTTGTCCTCCCAAAATACATGTTTTCAGAGGCAAGCACAGAGTTGTAGCTTAAATAGTCATTAAAAAAGACACAACTCAACATGTTCACTTCTCTTAAAATTTAGTCTATTATCCCAGTAATCAACAACCAAGAAAATCTATGTAGCGTGATGGTGCACTATGAAAAATGGTATCATTCATTAGAGTTCAAATGAATGACCTTCCCATTTTGTTAACCGGTTTTGATTGTTTCAAGTTAAATCAAGTATTAATAAATCGAGTACACGATTTACAAAAGTAAAGCTCACCTCCTAGTTCATGTTAAGTTACTTACGCTCTTTTATACTTCTCTCTTTATGTTTAAATATTGACGCATTGGCCACTTTCCTTGCCTTTCACTTTCCCACAGCAAATGCAGAAAAATTATCAAGTCTGAGCAGAAATGCATCAGCAATGACAATATTATCATATGTACAAAACTCAGACAGCTACTAGAAATGCAAAAAGATCCTTCAGAAATGCGGACTTGAAAATGCCACTCATACATAGTTTTCCATGTCTGGACTTTAATATCAAACATGTCATCGACAAGTGTTTTATATGCATATTTTTTTTTATAAGTACGCAATACTCTTATTGAGTACTTTTTTTGCTCATCAGATGCTTCCCCCCCCCCTCAAATATTCTAACATCTTTTTGTGTTAACTGTTCTTATTTACCTAAAATAATAAATTGCTTCTTTTTAATATTACAGTGTAATTAAACTTGCTTATCCTAGTACCCGTGGCACACTCGGCAGCCTTCCAAGAGAGAATTTATTTCCCCTTTCCGCAGTTTGCTTTGCAGCTCTTAAGCGGATAAAACGCCAGCCCTGGCGCTAGAGGTGGAGGCATGAGCACACCTTTCCCTCCGTCAGCCCGGCCGCAGGGGGTAGCAGCTCCTGCCAGAGAAGCAAGGCGGACAGCTGGGAGCAGTCAGAGATCAGGCCACTGCATCTATGAGTCATTCTGAGCCTTGCTGAAAGTCAGGGGGATTTGGGATAATGTTTCCAAATGAATCCAAACGCAGTTTTCAGTTTCACCTACGTCAGGGATACCAGGTTGCATCCTAACCGCACCTCGTTGCTGCTCCCCGTGACGAAGTACCGCAGTACCTTTGAACAGGTAGCTTTGATCTGTGTGACCTGCCTGGCTGGAGCTGACAGCAGCTCACTCCCCGTCCCAGTGAATCAACATTTCAAACCTCTTGTCAACATGGTACGTTGAATACAGCATATTACCATAGAACAACTTAAGAAGTCTGTCCTCTGTGAAAATTAAGCTGATTCAGAACCTGACTTACATATGCTGCTCTCCAAACTTACCTAGCAATTGCTGTAGTACTCCTTTTTAAACAAATGTTGGAATGCTACACTGTAAAAAGCTAGACTGAATCCTGCCGGCTACAAATACATTGGTTCTCTAGTCACAATACTTTCCCGCTTTCCCTGTGCCATTAAAGAATTCCATGGATTTCCAGGACTCTTGGCAGAACACACTTGTTTTCTTCAAACTCTTCTCTAAATACTCTTCTTGGAATTTCTTTTTTTGTTATATAAATGGATTTGTGGTTATCTGAATCCATGTGCAAAGTCCACTTTTATTTGTATATCTCTTATTTTCATTATCTGCTTTCAAACTATACTTTTAATGTGCTGTCCGCCCCAAATACCGAGAGTCAGAAAAGGATACAAGTCACTAGAATCAAGTCGGTTTCTACAAGAATTTTAAAATACATTTCAAACAGGCTTCATATGCAAGATATAAAATAATTTAATTTGCCTCCTATAACTTGTGTCCCCTTATGGGGACAAGGCAAATGAATTTTAAATTTAATTTAAATACAAATTAAGTGTGGAGGTTACAAAGTTAATAATCTTCTCATTGTGTATGGACATGTTCACTTCAACTAATTTAAGCTAATTTAGTCCATACCTATTTTTCATCTAAAAACTTTTTCCTTCCCAGGTGAAATATCAGTTTCTTTAGAAGATGATGAGGATGCTCCAGGAGATCCACTACTTTTTATGTCACATGTCAGACCAGTTCAACTAGGTATAGTATGATGGCGCAGAGAGATCAAAAACTAAAAAGCAGCATGGCTGTCAGAGCACTTTCTGATAGCTTGAGTACGCCGTCATTCTGTTTCTGATCAACACAGCTTTAAAATAGCCACACCTTTGCACCATCTCCTTCCCAGTTTTAGCACTCAGCAGTCTCATGCATCACTAGATACTCACCACTGTATATGATGTAACTCCTGCATGACCACCGTTCGCATTCAAAACACATCCCATGCTATAGCTTAATCACATTAACCATTTAATTTTGTTAAATGCTAGTGGAAAGTATGCCAAATGGTAGTGTGTGATACCCATGTCAACTTGCGGATTTTCTCCAACTCCTGTGATTTCTGCTTAAAGCAGCATGAGTGATGGCCTGAGCCAGGGGAGACAGGCAGAGGTCAGACCTGTCCCACTGAGCAATCCAGATTTGCAGTGGTCTTCAAAGCAGCTGTACCCTCTCTCCAAGCAAGGGGTAGTCAGCAATGCTTTAGTCCAACCAACCATACAACAACTCATCTGGAAACCATCCTACTATCGTAGTTTTGCTCAGGAAAGTCATTACAGAGCAAAGGCACAAACCTGGCAAGCCAGGAGGAGGGAGAAAATCCTAGGTGTGAGCCCCTTCAAGGGGCTGCTAAAGGGAAGGGAGAAACCTGAACACATTTTAGGCAGAATTAGGCAACCGATGAGCTGATTCCTTGCCTGGATGAACAGCAGCACTGTCCTGAATTTCCTATGTGCTCTTTCAATTTTTTACGTACCCTCTGTGCCCTAGCATACATCCCAGTCCAGTTACAACAATTTTCACTACAGAATCTCCAAGGTGCCGTATTCAGGCAGAAAACAAGGCCCCAGCTAAACCTACGGCTTTTATGTTACACACTACACCCCTCTTGCCCGGCATAACAAGAAATTAAGGAATAGACAAGTATCTCACATGGAATTATATGCACATACATATAAACAAAACTTTCTTGCAGTAAGTATCTGAATCAAATTTTACAGTAATATGTCTGTGTTACTCAGTGCTCTTGCAACACATTGCCAAGCGGATTCATTTCACCTGCTAAAAAATCTTCAATTCTGGGAAAGCTGCTTTCTACAAAGCCAGCAAAATAATTCAACTGCATGGGCTCTGAAGTATGTACTGATACTAAAATGTCTTCCCTAGTGCCTCTCTTAGTCTTTAGATTTCAGGCACTATTTCAGACACCACTGAAAGAAAAATTTTGAGCCCTTTCTATCTATATTGCTTAATATTTTGGTTTCATTTCAGCAGATTTCTCATTTTGACGAATCTTAGGAAAAAAATCAAATATGGCATAAACACATCTTGCAGATCGAAAAATAATGTATATCCTGTCTGAACAATTTTTTTAAACAAATTAGAGCTAAAATACATTTGAGACATAAGGAAAATTTTCACAGTGACCGTAACAACTTTGTTTCAAAGTGGTGCTTGTGGGTAAGATATTTTGCATCACAATGCTTTTTAAAGGGAATGAGGAACAAACAAAGCCACCGTTTTCCAGGCTGCGTACAGCAGAATGAATAAGCAATGCACCAAGTCACTAGAACTCATTTGAACTCATATCCACAACCGAAAGTGAGCTCGGTTGGAAATGAACTTACTAGTGAGAAATACTGGTCTACACAAGAACTAAAGAAACCTCATCCCTCCCAGCGTGCCCCATACTCTATGGCTTTGACTGGGAAGTGCAGGGAGCACCTTCCGCATTCTTATTCCTCTTTTCTTCACCTGTGCCTTTTCCCTCTGGTCTCCGTGGTGCACTCTGGTAGTGAAGAATAAACCACTCTGGAAATAGATAGTCGAAATACTTGTGGTAACACTGAGCAGAGACTACATCAAGCCTATCTGATGTTGGCAGCTGTCAACCGTGGCAATTCCTACAGTTGCATTCACCTGTACACAGGCGTTTTCTTTCACTCCCTCAGGAAGAAATGAAGAAAACATAATTGATATATCACCTGAAAATTACCCTCAACAACATATCAGTGAGCTGGCTGCTGCAGAGGTCTGATTAACACAGGACTAACAGAGAAAAAATTGGTATCTGTTAGTACAGTTTTTTCACAACTAGAATGAATTACAGAGACTAGCAAAGAATGCCTCTACTTGGGACAAGTTTGTCCCCAAACAGGTTACTATACACAAGTATGCTCCGCTGAAGCTGTATGTGCAAGCAACGGTCAGGTATTTTTGCCATCACACAAAGCTCAGTGACTATAAAGTATCCAACCCCTGTAACCTGGCTTGCCCTTTTAGAATAAGACACTTGCAAAGGCATTTATCACTTCAGTATGACTGCAGAAAACTGTGTCAGTTACCGTGCACTTTTGTATTTACTCTCTGTGATAAAGCACTGGAATGGTGTTTTTTTAAAAAATATATTTATTTTTGCAAAGATTTAGAAAATGCATGAGAAACCACTTTCCAAACTAATTTGATAAACAAAATGAAGTCTTAAAGGAAATTCATAATTAAAAACAAGGAAACATTAAAAAAGTGCAAGAGATCATACTTCAGTGTTTTAAGTAATTGCATGGCATCCTTTAACTCCTAATATTAAAAAATAAAGTTGAAGACTGGAGAAAATAAAAAAAAATATTAGTTCTGCAGAGTAAGATAGCGCAAAACTTTTTTACAAAAAACCCCAAATATTTTTGATTATTCAAATATTAATGTTTATATTGACCTGCACTGAGAAAGGAGGAGGTTCTGTACCATGAGAACTGGGTTTGTTATCACACAAATGTTCTTGTGTGACTTAAGGCAAAAGTCTTCATTCCTCAGCTCCCCACAAAAGGCGGGCTTGGTTAAGAGTTAAGGATCAGATTCTTCACATCCTTACCTGGTTTAAAGCTCTCCATGCGTGTAAAACCAAAAGTATGGCAATGAATGCAGAAAGTTAAGTCTTTATGCTAGTGTCAGTGACTCAGGGCCCAATTTATTATTGTGCTAACGCAGCACTTTGTATCTTCCAAACAGCACTCTTCTCCTCTCTAATGTCTGAACGATAAAACAGCTCACGGGTTATTCTCAAAGGTATTACAAGTAAAAGTTCCGTGTATTAGGGCACAGAAGAAAGAAATGTTCCTCTTAGATTAATTAAATGTACATGCGCTATCTTTCAAGAGAAGGCAAAAATGATGTCAGAATTCACAAAATGCTGACAAATTAATAACCAATAGCTTGACTTTAATGTCACCTCTGCTCCATCTTTCTCTGGAGAGACAAGTCATGAGGAAACGGCATACTTCATTCTCATTCTCTCTGTCCTTTCCCCACCCCAACCACCCAATGCAGGTAACCCGTATCTGTGTCTCTCCCCTACCCCACACGATGCAGGTAATCCAACGTCAGCAATAGAGGCTTCCAAAACACCGGCTTTTATTCCAACAGTAGCAAATGAAGGAGGAAAACACTGGACTGTTAATGAAGTCAGAGCTTTGATACGCATATGGTCAGACAAAAATATCCAGCAACAACTGGAGGGGACAGTGAGAAATAAAAGAATATTTGAACAGGTTGCTGCTAGACTTCAAAAGTTCGGAATTGACAGGGACTGGAAGCAGTGCAGGACAAAATACAAAAATCTGAAACATGAATACAAGAGTGTAAAAAGTGCCCAAGACTCAGGGAGTACAAGTAAAAGTATGAAATTTTTTAATGAACTGGATGCTATTCTGGGGCACAGCACCATGGAACAAGCAAGTAAATCAGATAATGATGAAAGTGAGAGGCCTCCAGAATGGACAGAAGCAAAATCAGAAAAGGACTCCATAGGTAAGTACTTCAGCTACCCATATATCATTTAAAATTTTTAGTTTTCCAGCACTAGAGAGACCTTGAAAGAACGAAAAAAAAGCAACTAGCTAGATTAACCAATTTGCTGGAGGCGGGGGGAAACACTGAATGGAAATTTACTATTTTGCCCAGTTGTTCACTTTACATTATAAGGTAATCTTTCAGATAGATTGATTCTTTTTTTAATAGAATTAAGAAACAAAAAGAGGAAAAAAAGATGAAGACATGGGATAAGATAAAGCGATACAGAGAGACCATTCCAGTCAAAGTCATGGCAGAAGAGACGTGTTTCTAGCTTAGATTAAAAAAATGGATGAGAGAGATGGTCAGACTGTGTTACTGGAAAAATGAAGACATTGAGCAAAAGAAGTCTGTAGTTATAGACATTGGTTAAAAACTTAAAAATTAAACTGTCTTTCTCTTATGGTCCCCAGTGGCCCAGTTTTACTGGCCTTTGGAGCAAGTCTCCAAACAGCACCAAGAATAGCACCAGGAATGCTGGCAGAGCTTGCCTTTATTTTTGTGTGGTTATTGACGAATAACTTGGTAATGGATGGATTAATGCAGAATTAGAGTAGACTGATGAACCTACACTACCCAGGAGTTAAAACACTTTTTATTGGTATATACAACCAGAAACAGGCCTGTTGTTTAAGAACAGAATTAAACATAAACCTCTTTATTACGCAGTAAGAATCCTACACAGGGGATGATATTACGGTGGCCAAATGTAAGACTAGAAGTTAGTAAAGTAATGGAAGAAGTCAAGAAAAATAGAACACAAAGACAGTCTCTGGCTGAAAACTATGAGAGCATTTTGGGCAAAGATTCACTCTTCAGTTGCTGTTTCTAGGCTCTTTGCTAATGCATCTGCTACTGCCTGCTGGCATAAAGAGCATCCTAGGTTGGACGGATCTTTTGATTTGACACAGCACAGCTGTTCTTATGTAGTACACAAATGCGGTGCCCTAATTAACATAGCATTATTTACGCAGAAATGCCTGGAGACACAGGTGAAGAGGACTCTGTTAGTAATATGTCAGAAGACCTACGGGTTGCAGATATACAGAAAGTTTCTGACTCAGGTAAACTGAAAAGTCTTCTATTTTTATATAAATCCCTAAATTTAGTAAGTTAAGATGGCTTTCTAAAATAAGCCCACATTGTAATGATGGTTAGAAAATGCAGAGGCCTAAAAAACTTTGAAGCAGGAGGTAACGTCATAGTGATAACCATACTTTCAATAAATACAGGCACACGTGCACATTTACAGTGCTCTGCTAAATTTGATAAAAACAGTCTAGTAAGTAATCGTTCCAAAGATTCATGACCCAAGATGTAAAGAAGAAGAAACTATTGGTCTAAGGAAGTTGAGTGCAATGTATTACTGCATTTACTTTTACTTAAACTATGTCTTCTCAAGGATTAGAGTTGTTCAGTCTCCTGTGCATAAACTAATACAGCATTCTATTTTTAACAATATAATGTGATCAGTATTTAATATAATTGTGTAAATGCTCATGTCAGGGAATGAAAACTTCATTTAAGAGTATCACTACTAGCACTGAATATGAAGGTCATACACTCTTTATAAAGAAACATGGTTTACACCTGAAAGCATAACTTTCAGGGGAAGTGGGAATTCAACATTCGGCTAAGTCTCGAAGGCTAATGGGCCTGACTGTCCACAACAGAGGACCTCATGATCTCTTTCAGTAGCATGAGGCAGAATATGGTCTAAATTAGGCGTTAAGGAGTAGTCTTACAGAATTTAAAATGGTCTAACGTGAACTTGAAAGATTTTAATGTCAAATTAAAAATCTTCTGACAGATGATGTTACTGTAAATACTACTCCAGAGAATCTGGCAGCTCTGCATGTAACGAAAGAAACAGCTATGACAAGTAAGTAAAGCCATGGTTGATCATGAGAGGTAATTTGAGGTATACTGGACAGTAGTATTCTTGTTTTACCATTCAAGAGCAATTACATTTATTAATTTAAATTTACTAACAAAGAAATATATAACTGGCCTTTTACCAGATCACCGTAGGCACTTGAGGCATTCATTAGGGGAAAACAGATTGTCATGAAAAGTGCATTGCCTATAGGGATCTCATTTTGAGAGAGACAAAATATGTAAGAAATCATAAATAGTACTTTGTGGGATCCAATTAAATGGATTAAATGCGTCAAATTCCATTTCTCCCCATCAACAAGTAAAATTACTACCTATACACGAAGAGTAGTAAGACACTGTAACAATACATAGATTCAGCAGTGCCACTAAACTGTCATCTGACATAGTTTTCAACTGCCTGCAGCTACATAATATTGAAACTTTTTGGATTGCAATCTTCCAAACAAGTTATTTAAGATAAAGTTAATTGAATACTTCTAGTAAAGTTCTGAGTACTCGTTTTTGACACTTTAACATTCCTTTAGGATAAGTGTAGGTTTTAGACACCTATAGCTTACCTTGGTTACCATTACCTTGTCAAATATGTGTATTTTAACTGCATATTTTGTTTGATTCTGGGTAATTGTAATTGCAATCTGATTTTGTGGAGAAAGATTAAAATAGCAAGTGTTTCAGAAGTGTCTCTGGCTCAGCCTATCCACTCTAAAGACTACTGTTCAAACTTCTGCGGGGAAAAAAAGGCAAAACCACAGCACTCCATCATGAAAAGATGCAGTTTCAGCTTCCAAAATTCTTTCCCTCATCCCCAAATGAACAATACAGACTCAAATAATTTTGTCACGGGTGGTAAAAAGCACCTAGACTTTAATGTTATTAATGGTAACATAGTTAGGTGTGATATAAAAGCAGAGAAAAGATGCACACTTTTTACATTACAGTATCATGGAGACCCTTTATTCTCCAATTGTGGTACATGCCTTTCCTAGACAGTTCAAATAAATTTAAAGTGCGAAACTGGTAAGTAAAGAGATTGTATGTACCTCTGTATTAATAAATTTATTTGCTGATAAACAGCGAAAAAGGCAGTCAGGCAGGGATACCATATTACATTGGTTCTTTGATATCAGTAGATGTCTGACAATTGATAGCCTTTAGGATGTGACTTCTTAAGGACTACTCCATATTCAACATAACTTTTGTAGAAAACTGTTTCTCAACAAGCATGTAATTATAATTTATATATACATACCCATGTACCTTTAAAAAAAATTGAAAAACAAAAATTTGACATAAGTAAGAATTTAGAAATTCTGTTAACCTTGTATGAGGGTATCTTCTTAATTAGTACATGGAGTTAATGTACTCTGCAGTCAAAGTTATACATACACTTGTCTAGGTATGTACTAGCTAGCCTGGGCAGACATCTGCTTTCTGGCAACCGCAGCTGTGTAAATGCACAGAGGTGCCCAAGCTCCCTCAGAAGTGCATGTGCTTCTTACACGTAGATCTGAGTTATTAACCACAGTAACATCATCGCCACTGCCAATCTTTATAAATTGCCATTTTTTGGCATGGTTTGCCATACTCTGGTAAGGAAAAAATTAAGATGGTATTAGTCAAATGCACCAGTTTCAGGAAAATACCTAGTTATTTGATGTTTCATGGCATTGTTTTTCTCCTCTGTCCACATGTATTTGCTCAAATGCCCACCTGAGAAGGAAAAGACAGAAGTAAATAAATCCTTACATGTTCTTCTACAGACTGTCAACAGTTTACTGAAATTTCTCTCGCAGCATTGCCCTGGAGTAGCTTTCTCAGCAGACTGGCCAGCAGAGGGTGCAAAAGCATCATAGCAATCACAAAACCCATTTAGCTTTTTGCAAAAGCAGCCTAGGAAAGGCTAGGGTCACTGTAAATTTTTCTCTTTTCTGGTAAAAGATAGCCATATTAAATCAATCTGGAAATAAAACCTAATTTAGTCATTTTGACTGATGTTTTCTATTTCATGGTATCACTTTTAAGGACAGTTAACTTCAGAAATCTATTCAGAAGAGCGAATTGCTTCAGTTTGCACAGGCCGTAGTCAGTCAATTTTAACTCCATGTACATGTACATTCCACATGTGTCAGACTTTGCAGTATGACCACAGACTGTGTATAGGTGTTTGATTAAATCTGAAGTGCCAGGGGAAACAACAGTGGAGATGAAAACAAGATTCTAAGAAATGCCAGTAGCCTGATGTTCTTAAAAAATATCTACAGCAAGCATTTTGCTTCAGACAAATGACTCTTCTTGTCATTGTTTTTTTAGGATTTTTGGTGCCCTGCGTACTTTATAATGTTCCTCTCATGACAAATGTGGAGTAAGTCATGACATTGCCAAGATACGTTCCTAAGCAAGGGCTTTTTAAAAAATGGTTGTTTAAAGTCAAGATCTTAAGTCGGTACATACTCAGGCACTTATGTCGGCTTCTTTTGAAGGTTTACTGCTGCGTGCTTGGAATTTTAAAATGTACAGATATAAAGTCAAAAGACAATGTTTTAATACATATGCCTCGGGCTGGTGTGAAGTAGTGTTTCAGAGAAGCGCAGAAGCAAAAATTCTTGATTATTCACTGGTTTAGCCCACGGCATACTCGGGCTGCAGACGCAAACTCCTAACTGTGCATCCAGAGCTGTCTGTATCCAGTCTCACAGAAATGCATGACAGACGGCAGCAACTTTGCAAGCTGTTGGAGAGTAAACATAGGCCACACGCTAAAAAAAATTCCCTAGCTTTGACATTCCCCACTCCCCTTTTATACTATACAAGGCACATGAGAGTAGGGATAGGGAGACAAATTACTGATCTTGCCTCATGAGCCAGAAAACAGGATAAATAGCGATAGTGACAGAGTGCCAAAAGAGCACAGAGCTTGTATCAGTCTGAGCAGGTAAAAGGAAGGACTGCAACAGCATTGCTGTGGTGGGCTCTTGAGCAATGCTTCAAACACAATGTAGAGATTAAGCATATTTGCTGGCAACTGTCTATAGCTTCACTAAACAATGCGGATGGAGCCACTGTGTTTTATCCACGCCAGAAACTGTTGATGGTTTGTTCTATTTGGCTCAGCCTTGCTCTCCTCGTGCCCTCCCCCAAAAAACTCTGAACGGTGGCTTAGAAAAAAAGTCAGGCTCCCTACCCACATTCTTGGCTCGCCAAGGAAAAAAAATAAAAAGGTGCATGATGCTGGTCACGTCATGAAGAACGTCTAATGCAAACAAGGCCGTATTGATTTTGGGGGTAATTTTTAATAAAATGGCTCTAGAACATGCTTTATTGCTCAATGTTTAGGGGCAATATTCTTGAATGGACTGAGAAGAGGCTGGGAGCCAGCAACTGCTGTCATCGATCTGCAGTGTGGCCTTCACCATTTAATCTCTGCACAGCAGTGTCCTCACCTGGATATGAGGATCGGAAAGACCACTTGCATCATCCGCCTGTCCATCCGTCCGTCCGTCCCAGGGCGGAGGGGTGGAGTTCCCCTTTAAACACCGGAGGGCCAATGGCAGAGGAGCGGAGATCTCCTCCCCGTGGAGGGGAGCCCAGGGACACCTCTGTCACCTCTGTCACCGTGCCTGGAGCCGGGGCCCCAGCTGTGTGATGTAAAGCCCTCGCAAGCCACAGATGGGGGGATGCTCTCAGGACAGGCATTTAGTACTTTGTCTTTATCACGCGGGCAGCCTTGCAGCTCAGTCATCCAGGCACAGCACCCTGATGCAATGTCAGGACCCTTGTCCCTTTTGGGGCTAATTCAGTGACTCTTGGCATCAGTCGCTTGGGAGCCTTTCGATAATTTCAGTACGTACTGAAGCACCCCTTATGAAAGTCACCATCTTGCCTGTTCTGCTGCATAGAGGTTCACCAGCTACTACATATCTTACAACCACAATCAGCGAACCATTCTACAAATTCTGATCCGGGTTTAAATAGCTTCAGAGTTTGCACATTTAACCCACAAACTTATATTATGCATCTGTTACGTAGTGTTCTGGATTTATTGTAATATATAAGTGCATACACTGTGCTCTTAAGCCCACTACTGCAGAGAAATGGCAGCTTTAATGTATCAAGAGACGAAATCTTTAATAACAGTTATCATTAACGGCATTCTGAAGTTAGCGATCCTCAAGACATAACTCAAGACCTGTTTAGTTAATAAGAACTCTGTAAATTTTTTTTTTACAGAAATCATTGAAGATGAGGGGGACTTTGCCAACTCCGTCCCGGCAGCTCTGGCAGCTACACAAATAAAGAAGGAGACGATTGACATAGGTAGGTCAAGACTGTGTCTTGATGGTTATAACAGCACATTCTACTTTACTGGGAACTGCAGGTTCGTATGTTATTCCTGCACATTATACTCGTTCTGCTTCTAGGTTATGATAAAATCTGTTTTTTGTTTGAAATCGTAGTGCAAAAATGCATAAACACTTATTTCTCCTTCCCCCAATTAATAACAAGATCTTATTTTCCCAGACAACATACTCCTTATTATGCTAGATGTGGGTAAGTCTGCATTTGATTGTAACAAATACTGTTCTTTTTCATACACAGCGGCTAGAGAGGATAAACTGGAAACCTAAATAGCTGTCTCAGAAACACTGAACATTTTATGCCTTGTCTGCAACTACTTCATGACAGTGCATTTAATTTCAGACTATTCACTATCAAACAATTGCCATAGGTATTCTGAATTATTTTACAAGTAAAACTGAAATCAGAGCCTCAGCAATACGTAGAAGTCATACATTCAATGACAAGTATTCAGGAGAAGATTTGTTTTATTAAAAATGTTGAAATTTAACATTAGAATACAGTAGGGATATTAATCTTCTGGAATAGATGAGCATAGACACCATGGAAGGTCAAAAAAAAAGGCATCAGAGGAAATAACAATGACACTGGAATCTACTGACCTGACATCCTGGATCAAAATATACTTTACGGTACTGCTGTTTACACCCAGAAGTTAATGGAAGGAACAAAAAATTCTGTTATAATGATTCTGTGCACAACAATTCTTTGCCCTTTTACACTGAAAGCTACTACCATAAAAATATTTCTATTGTACACATCAGTATTTCTGTGATCCAGGCAAGAGCTTCCTTCTCAGCAATTATAGTTATCTGGAGTTTGGGTGTTGAGACACCCTATCCAACACAGCTTTTACAACTGTTTGCATGGGCTGATCTTGATTATGAAAGACAACTGTAAGGAGTATGACACTGAGGGCAACATCAGAGCAATGCTATCACAGCGATGACACACAGAAACACAAGTTACATGGAGGATAAAGTAAAGCTGTGTCCCTGAAAGTTCAGAGACAGAGTGAGGTCACACTAATGCAAAGAGAAGAGTTCATACAGAATGACACAGAATAAAATGTCATGCAAATCAACTGACTGCCTTATACACACAAATTCCCCGTTCCTGTCATGTAATATCCAATTGAGGATAGTAATCACGCAAGTCAGCAGTACACAAGCACCATTGCCAAAGGCAGAAAGAGATTAGAGAGCCAGCGTGGTTGAGAGAACGAGCACATAAATGAAAGCCGTGGGGTTTTTTGGTAATAGTTTGTTGTTGGTTTTTTTTTTTAAATCACTCAAGAGCCCAGGAGTAGACCTACTGCTCCATTTTGGCCCAAGGTTGTATTTCCAATAGCTGCAAGTGTTAAAGGAAGATGAAAGAATTTTCTTAAGAGTTATGGGGCACCCTATTTATGAAAAAACACTTTATTTCTAGTACCCCAAGTAAATCACACACACGCTTATGAGAGTATAATTTCTGATTCTAAGTTTTCCATAGGTATAAAATGTATTCCTGCATATGGCTTATGAAAACAAGTATTTGCCAAATCACTTAAGAGAAAGCAAGTTATAAAGCAAATATGAATTCCAAGTACTACTCTGTGCATATGTTAGCAAGTACCATTATAGATAGCTCATCAAATGAACCACTGCTTATTTACCAACAATCTCTCATTTCTAACAGAGTCTAACCCATGCGCTCAGTTTTTCAAAACATATAAGGAGTATTTACTTCTACCCTTTACTGAAAACAATATTGAAGATAATTGGTCTATGACATCCCCTACCAAAATGATGAGAACTAACCTTTCTCTCCCTCCCAACCCAAAAAGTCATTCCACACAAAAGCGAACTTTCAGCCTCAGAGAAGTCCAAGCATGAGAAAACGAGCCCAGAGTCAGCAAAGCTGGGCTTTGATGTCCATAGATGATTTCAAGAATTCTGAGGGCTTCTGAATTTTACTTCTGAAGGGAATATTTTTTATGCTGTGAAAGAGTGCAAAGCTATTACAATCTCAGCTCTGCAGAGGGAAAAAAAACCTGGCATGTAGACATGGAGAAAAATAATATAATGATGTTTCTATCCTGTTAGAGATGGAATTTTGAAGAGAACTCAGATGCTGGTAGAATAAAAAACAGCTCTGTCTTCCCTGTTTTGTCATTTAAGCCACATAGAATAGTTTTGGATAGAGCCACCCCTACACATAGAAAATGCAATTTAAGCTGAGGCTAAAGATTTCCACAAAAGCATTAATGAATTGTTTGTTTTCCAGTTTTTCTTCTGCTTATGTTATCTCCATCACAAAAGCTCTGAATCAGAGACTAGCCTTTCACCCAAAAGTAAACAAACATGGCTGTCTCCTAAAGGCAGGCAAAAGCATGCAACCTTCCCCACAAAACCTAACATCCCTCCCTGCCCAGAATCAGGGAGAGGCACGCCTCAGTGCCCAGCTTTGAAACCCACCATGGCAGCTTACTAAAATGGACTCTAAACCACTTATTTTTTTGTGGTAAAAAGGAGTCCTGAATAGAGGAGAGCAAGTAGGATTAAGGAGCAAAGGTCTCTTTTCAGTTTCTTTCTGCTGTACCAGGGAAACTCACAAAGACCCGAGAAAAGCCTCATCAGCGGTAGGAAATGCGGCTCATGCGAAACCACACTGCATGCAGGTCTGCCGGCAGGTGCCTCTGCCTCTCACTCCTCCCCATCGCATCCGAATCACGTGCACAGCTTCCAAACTCGAGAGGGGGACAGTGGTCTTCTAGGGCCCGAGCCCCTGCTCATTTCATGACAGCAGCGGGGGAGCATGCATGACCCCACGAAGGGAAAGGCTGCAGTCCAAGCCCTGTTGGGCGTGAGCGAATCCGCAGACGCGTGCCCTTACAAATGGCACCAAAGCCTCACCAAGCCTGCCCCACCCACATCGCCTAGGAAGAAAACCTGGAAGGCACACCCGTGCTGATAAATGTGTACAAACATGTTATGCAAATCGACTTACATGTGAGATACAGACCATCCACGTATGCCTACGTGTTTAATCAAGTATTTTAAATGTGTTGTATCCACAGCTACCTTTTGGGTAATGCGGGGGCAGAAAGAAAGACGGCTTATAAGTAATGCCACTAAATAACTTGATTTAGGAAGGCATGTGGCAGAAGACTTGTTATAATGTGATAATGGGTTACACTAATGGGATACAACATTTTTAACTGAAGATAGGTGTTACCTGAAGAGGATGACAATAACATTAGCAATTTAGTTGCCTAACACCGAGTCTATTTTATTTAAAACTGTGTGTTTCTATAGATGATGATTCTATAAGCACTACCTCAGAAGACAGATCTTGTACACCAGTAGCAAAACGGATGGTTGGGACAGGTGAGTATTCATTTCCATGCTTTTATTCTGAAACAAAATTGCATTGTAATTTCAGTACCAAAGCTGGAGCAACCAGATCCCTACTGTAAACACAGCTCTACTTTTTTACTTCTGACTCCAGTCTAGCTTTATCACTAAACTTAAAAATTAGTTTCATAGCTCGAATTCCCTGTCATGAGCAAAACTGCATTCTATACTTATCTGATAAGCAGCATCTGCCTACTTCTGAAAACGTAGGTAAGATTTTTTCTTCTGTTGAATCCCCAGTAGCATTTTCGTTTTGCATGATATTATTTTGCCTTGCCATTCTAATTTGAAACCATACTGGAAAGCCATTTTCTTATCAATGCCGATATCTTGTTGCTTTAAAGCTTAAGGCCTATTGCTTTCCTGCATGTACCACTTGTATACATCTGTCTTTAATTTGACAACAGCAGCAACAAAATTACACTGACAAAATGTGGAATTTTAGATGCCTTGGAGAAACACGAGATTTCACTTGCTACATATTTTGCATACTTAAGATAAATGTAATCATGTATGGATATTAACATTGTAAAGTTAAAAGGTTTTCGTGACAAGAGATTGTTATAAACATTAATTAATCCTTCAGCTTGTTACCAAATCATTAGCTACAATTACACTTTAATGTATGTATATTCAGCAATACTCAGTTGTTTCATTTAAATTTTCAGACAATCACATTCCCTTGGAAGAAGCACAAAATCACTTTAAAGTTATTACAGTTAATGATACTGGAGCAGGAAAACACTGGAGTGATAATGAAGTCAGAGCTCTGATAAACATATGGTCAGATGAAAAGATACAACAAATGCTTGAAGGGGCCACAAGAAATAAAGAAATATTTGAGGAAATTGCCAGAAGGTTAATGAAACGTGGTATAGACAGAGACTGGAAACAATGTCGCACAAAATACAAGAACCTAAAATATGAATACCGTGCACTGCAGAAGGAAAACGAGCATCTTGGTAATCCCAGGAGAAAAATGAGATTTTACGATGAAGTTGACTGCATCTTAAGAAGACAGCCTCTGGGTCCCTCGAGCTGGGGATGTGAAACTTCAAGTCTCCTATCAGGTACTAAAAACTTCAGTGATGAGATAAAGCGCTTAAAAAAAGTTAAGTTGCCTGTTGACCCATGTTGTAGGGGTGAAATATGTGGCCAGAATGGGGAGGGAAAATAACTGAAGAACCTGTATCTGCATGGTCACGTAGGCAATACTCGGCGAACGGAAATGGTCTTTGGAGGAGTTTACGAGTGAGAACATTAACAAAAGGTGAAAGCACCTGAAGCGTTCAATGTTATTGGAGAATCTTTGTGCTTTTGGAAGCTTAAGTAAGATACAGTGAAATGGTGCTAGAAAACGTGGCAGGTTTTAGAGGTGATCTAGCAGGCATGTAAAGTCTTATGGATAGAGAGCTGCAAGCTCATACCATTTAGAACTGTGGAAATCTGTAACAATCAAGCCGAGTGCAAAGACTCCAAAAAAGCAAACTTCATTAATTCAATTCACACCACAGTCGAGAGAGAAAAATCCAGGGCAGTGATGTTTATTTGAGCATTTGTAATTATTGTATTAATTTTGCTAAAGCAGAATCAGTTTTCTGAATAGAGTTTGTTTCTATTTTAGTATCAAAAGACCTCTGATCTAGGAACCACACAGCTAACCTTGTCTCTGCTGTAAGGGTTCTCATGACTGGCCAACTGCTCCAGCTCTCAGGGGCACCTGCCCCTGCTCCAGGCAGATCAGATGCTCTTGTAGAAGCAACTTTAACCACTGCAGCTTAGAGCTCAGTGAGTTATGGTAAACCAGAACTGATTCTGATTTTTCTCGATATCTTAGATAATAATTTGCAACGTCACAAGTGTTAGTTGAGGACTTGAACCATTTCTGCAGGCAGAGGCCAGGTGGACAGCTTGAGCAGGAACCGCTGGAGCCATCCTTAAGCCAACTGTCCTCAGTCATGAATCAGAGCCCTAATGTGGTGTCCAAGGGCACTGTACGGTAGTGCCATTAGTTGAGGCTGGAATGACATCCACACAGCCATGGGATGACACCACTGCTTCTCACCTGCCTCATTCTTGTGCTCGATCACATTCTTAAGACAGACATTTTCTTCCAAATCCAGAAACTGAAGATATTACTGCTCATTTCTGCTCTCCGTGAATGGGATTTGTCAACACCATGAATATTCAAGCCAACCTGGCTGTTTTACATTTTAGCATGCTGGGAAAGGACTGTGTAATCTGTGCTGTGAATGCTGATGCAGCAGACAGTAAAACAATAACCTTCCAGAAAAGAAGTTTTAGTTATTAAGCTGTTCCAGGCATCTGCCAAATAAATGTGTCTCCACCCTGATTTTGTGTGCCAACCCAGCACCTAGAAGATTCTTTTCTAGAAGATTCTCATTGCTCCAGGTCACTTGTCCCAATGCATTTGCTTTTGTAGTATAAAGCTTTTTGATATGTGACTGACTGTGCTTTGAGAATCTCTGCAAAATAGTCACCTTGCTTTTCTCTTCTAAGTTTCAGTGGGAGATGTTACAGCAAACACAGGATCCTTGAGTATCAAGAGAAAAACTTGGAATGATGGTAAGAGCCCCTGACTTTTTAAAGCATCTATACACTGCTGTTGATTTGGATGCCAGATTCTGGTTTCCAGTACTCAAACAGTTAAAAAAAAAAAATCCTAGAACTTAACACCAAACTCCAAACCAACATTATTCTCTCACCCTCAACAATCTGCAAAAGAAGAGTCCTGATAAAAATGTGGGCCTAAGGAAAACTGCAATTTCTTTATTTCAGTCCTCATCCCTGGTATAAATGAGGTAAACATCAGGAAATACTTCTTTGATTTATAAGAATCAAGTGCAAGAAAAAGAAAAAAAAATATTTTAAAAATGGTATGGTATAGAATCACTGAGAGAGAGAAATGAAGGGATGGACAGAAATATGCAGCATGTAATCTGATATAGGAAAGGTCAGGAGCTTATTTTTCTTCCTGGCAGAATTGTCAGGCCCTCAATAATCAAAATGTCCAACAATGAGGGATGACAAACTTAGTTTTTAGGAGGCTCACCCCTATTTTTAATGCCAAAATGATGTCTTGTCTACAGACAGATGAACACAAACAGATCCGAACACCACAACATTTCTGAATTCAACCTGCTCAGTTCACCTTCACAAACTATACTAACAGGACTAACTCTGTGTGATTAAATATACTTTCATTTATTGCCTATTAGATAAGTACGTCTTGCAGAAGGCTAGGCAAAACTGAAAGTTTCAAATATGAGTGATTTTTACAAGGTCTGCTTCATTCCTACTCGCTGTTATACAATGACACAACACCAGGCAACACCTGCAACAGAGTGTAACAGAAGGACAACATTAGGAAAATCTAGCATGTGCTAAACTTCAGTGTCAGCAGTTCATTGACTTGTGCACTCTAACTACATATTTTGCTTTTGTCCACAGAGGTGTCACCTGTTCCACTTAAGAAAAGTGCTTCTGAAAACACCATACTCCACTTCCAAAAACTATTAACAGAGAGAGTGCACACAGTAACAGAAGGCAAAAGGTTACTGTTAGAAAGGCTTTGTAAGCAGGAAGAAATGCAAGACCTCAGCAGAACACAGCTGTATGCTGATCCATCAGCCATACAACAGGTTGGTTTAATGAACTTTCTACGAAATTAGCATGCAAAGAGATTCTCTCAGATAGCAAGAAATTAAATAGACTTATTTATCCGTGTAGGTCACCCACATTTGTACATGCTTGCTCCCCTTTAATATATTCACCTTCAGTCATTTAAACTAAAACAAGGTATGAGTTCCCATCATAATCCTTAACTATGAGCTTTTAGCAGTGACGTCAGTTAGTCTAATAAAAGATATAACCTCTGCCTACATGCCTTGGCTCACTTACATGCCACAATTAACAGGCTTAATTGAAAGAAAATAATACTTTGACTGATCAAAGAAAACACGTACAGTTAAAATTTCATCCCATCATTTCCAGTTACCATCTCTATGACCTTCCTAGCAAGTTAGTCCTCTGCAATTAAACAAACAGTTGAAGCCATAAGAGAACTTCTTTTTGGTTAGGCAAGGCTGGTGGGGAAAATACAACACTTAATTCCTTTATCAGCATTTACCCTCCTCCTAGCCTCACCACCTGCCTGTGCTGGGATGGGGGACCATCCCCATCTGCCCGCTGAAGGTATGGTACTGTGCAGCAATGAACTGGAGAATTCAATGAGCCAGAAAGTACACGAAGTTGATGCCCACCTAGAAGGGGCAGGCATGGGTTCTGGTCCCTGTTCTGTACTGGGCAAGGGGTCTGCCTTGTCCAGTAACCAAATGAAGTACAGAAAACATAGAAACAGTGCAGGGAACGATGACATGGTAAGTGACAAATGCCATGCCATAACTAACCGTTCCTCTGCAAAATCCTACTAGTCACTACGTCAGCTTGTGATTGTGTAAGAACTCTACAGCTGGTACTGCCTGCAAGGCATGCGCTTCCTGGGTTTTCCTTTCAGTGTATTCAAGCAGAAAAACTAATTTCTGGATCTCAGTCATGTTTGGGTATAGACCTACACAGCCCTGTGAAAGCTAGGTCAGTTCTGGGCACACACAGGGGCACAACTGAAGTCAAATAGTCAAGTCCCTACTGCAGCAGCAACAGCCGCTTGTTTTTTCTATACGCAGAGGCCTAAATTCCACCTAAGTCCCTCTTCACAAAATCTTACACAAAAATATTACTGGATATAGTACTTTGTTTCCTGCTCTATGGTTAATTTTCTTTTTAATTCTTTTATGAGAGACATTATGAAGGTAAATAATATCCACCAAGGTAGATTTTATCTGCCATTTGACTAGCATTTTTAAAACAATTCTGAGAAGTCAGAGAAAGATCCCTAGAAAATCATAGTTTTTTGATCATATTCATTTATACAGTGTCACAGACATACAGTTGTTCCAGTGTATGCTTATCTACCACTTTTCACATTGGTTTCTCAGTACAAACCTTCTTTGGCTTGTAATACTAGAATTATTATTGGTTTAAAAATCTTTCTTCTCTCTTTGCAATGAGTTGGTTCAAAGATACATCCTTGAACTTGCATGTTGTACTTGCATACAGAACTGCTGTCTTTGGTAGGAGAACAAGGGATCTGTCCCTGCTATCACAGCAGTCAGGTATCCTTCTAGAATATGCTGAGCCAGCTGAAGACCTCACCATACCTATCAGCACTAAAATCAGAGGTTACTCCTTCCACATGTGAACCAGAAAAATGTGTGATCCAACCCTAATTCACTCTAGTACATTTAAACAGTTTAGTTCAATTTAGATTTAAATTAAGTTTTTAAAATAACTGTACTGAAAATAATATGGATCACTTACATGTTCTGCTCTACCTGCTCTGTTCCATGAGCGCAAGGCTGAAGTTGCATAAAGCAGCCGAAGCTGATTTGATAAGTCATTGCAACAAGATCCCCTTTCCTCCATGCTACTCGGAGCAATCTGATGCTTGCTGGATCCCCTATAAACCAGTTCAGCTCACTAACCTGACACAAGACTAGTCCAGTTGGGAAAAAAAAAAAGCAAATGGTTTTCTGTGTGAGTTGAAGCAGCCCAGCAAGTTCTCAGCTGTGCTAGCCCTAACTTTGAGCAGCTCAAAGGTTGTTTTTGTTGCAGTGTGACTGCCCTCGCAGAAGAAAGGCTAACCTTAGGGAGGCAGTTAGCACTGCGAGGAAGACAAACCACTTAAAATTCTGAGTGATGCACAGGGATCCCAATCTTTCCAAAACTTTGCTGTCATTCAGTACAACGTCCCCAAAAAACCTTTCTCTTTTTCCAGAAAATAAAAAATACTTATTTTATTCATTAAGATAAGTAGATCTTTCAAGAAATATGTATCTGTGTTTAAATGCTGTTGTTCAGGTGAGAACTGCACAAAAGCACTGAGGCAAAGGACTGTCTAAATTCTTGGTAGGTCAGAGCAGAGAATTGCAGAGCACACTTGCAGTCTCTACTTGGAAACTGTTCATATCGACACTGGAGGATAGACACGAAGCAAGAAGTGACAGAAAAAAAAAGAACACAAGTGGCTTTCCAAGTAAAAGTTTTTTTTTCTCAGAAAACTTTCCAGAGAGTGGGATTTACCTGACAAACAAATGTCCAAAGAAGGTAGACTTCCCCTTTGTGTGGGATTCCACTTCCATTCTGCGTTGTGGCTGCAAAGCATAGCTTGCTTTTTGTAATTGTTTTGTCAGAAAGCTATCTTCTTTTTTCCTGCTGTTCACATTTATTTTTGGTCAAAAATGGTAAGAATGTCAAGTGCATGGGGCATTTGGCATCATCTAATATTTATGTGCTACGCCCATTTATACAGATACCAATTAATTTACTTGAATATGTAGAATGCTGAGATAGATAAATCGAAGTGGCATCAAGACAACCTTTCTTCGCTGCAGTTGTAGTTATGATTCCACATCACTTTTTGCTTAGAGACAAAATAACATGAATGTTGCAAATTTAGAATTCTGGTTGTCTAGAGCTATGGTCTGTCTCCTCTTGACAGCATCTCCCAGGGTAGTGACAATGGGCTAAATAGAATGTCGCTAGAGTGAAGGATTTATCAAAAAAAGTCCCTTCAAAAATAGCATTAGTTAATCCAACTCATCCTTCCAGTGTATTTTTATATCTGCTTGAGCTTGTGCTGTGGCTCTGCTCTGATCACAGCTTTACATTTATTACAGTCACACAATATTTAGTCTCGGCACACTTATGGGCAAGTTAAATGGAACTTGGGACACCATCTGACACATGCTAAATGGTTATGTGCGAGAGCACTACCGTAGGACTGAAAGGGTTTGGGAGGAGAGGCCTTCTTAGACGTAGATCCACAACATGGTTCCTTTTTAGCAGAAAGGCCAGACCAAGTTGTTTCCATGTAACTGCTCCTGGGAATCTTAATATAAATTACATCATGAAAATGATCCAGCTTAAAAATCAAAACCAACACCAAGTAATGATGGCAAGAGCAGCAATCCTATAAAAAACAGAGACCTTTAGTCTTCTCCCTCCTCAAATAGCTGCACTATTACCGGGAGGCCATTCAGATTCCCCTGTGAGGGCAGATCTGTCTCCTCCCCAGTTTGCAAATAGCAATACTGAAATTTCTGAGGTATGGCAGATAAATGGAGCAATCATCACTCTGACCTATATTAAAAAGTTCCATTCTTCTCTAAAGCACTCTCATCCACTGAGATGAATGGGTCACTTTACACATCTTTGATAGGGCTGTTACCCTGGAAAGTCCTCTGAATGCCCCATTTAGATTGTTTCCTGGTAGACCAAACTATATTTGGGCCAAATGCGTGGAGAATGAGCTTCAGGGAGCAGAAATGCTTGCATTGTTGATGGATCCACAAGCCCTATCAGCATCACTGTTGGCTTAAAAGACTCACCCTCCAAGCTCTCACCCTTTGTTCCTTCTCCTGCAGCTAGGTCTCCTTTGTGTTGGCACAAGCACTCATGTGGCCAAGTGGTTAACCAACTGACAGAACTGATTTAAACTAAAATTAACCTAATAAAAAGCCCCTCCAAACAACCTTGCTTTTTTAAGTTCAAAGAAAGTAGTGTAAGACAGGGCAGAAAGAGCAGCCAGGACAGTTTATTTGAACTGAACTACCCAGCATGAACCTCCCATGCTGTATGCAACCTTCCCTCCACGCATTAGGCTCAAATTTAAGGTATGGACAGACAAGCCAACAGAGCAATCCTGTGAAAATTACTGGAGAGCTGTATCATGCCTACATGGATGACTTAACTACAGTTCAATGTGAAGAAAAACAGTCTCACCCCAACTCAATGGCTAGGTTAATGTAATGGAAAGTCTGTTGGCCACAATGAACATAATGGCTGTCTCCAAAACGTCCTCTTGTATATACATTTTGGCACCACTTCCCTCCTGGTTTTTCCACTCCTCCTTATGTTATCTCATTCCAGTTAGTTACTCCACATCCAGAGATAAGACCTGAGACTGAACTGCATTTTGTGGCATGTACATCTAAGAGATTTGAACTTGGTTAGAATGGAAATCTGGCTTATCTTCACTTTCCGAAAACGAGCATGCAGGAACCTGAGCCCTGCAGGAAGTTACGTAAAACAACCCAGCAGATATAACAGCTCACCACAGCGAAAAAGTCTTGCTCCTCCTCCCTTCCTGCAGCAGTAGGCTTTGTGGCATGTAATTAAACTGGGCTGCCGGCACCTAGCAGCACAGAACGGCCTATAAACATAAACCAAGGTAGAACGAGAAGTGTTACTATATCCACATTCAGTAAGTGTCTCTGAAAGCACTCAGGAATGTTTTACCAGCACATACAGCATGAATGTTCTGGTAAAACAGCATACAGACTCAATCACTAGCTAGACATTTTACCCAGTACACTCCATAGGGAACTTACATAGAAATAGTTAATTACAAAATTTGGCATTTAGACAATTAAAACATTTAACACTGCAGTTTTTGCATCTGGGAATGGGGGAATCTGCTG